TATAATCCCCATTGTTTTGTTTGAGTTATCTTAATCAACTAACTTTATTTTTTTACATTATACAATATTTACTTAAACTACTTACAGGCTAGAGTTTCCAACTTTATATATTTAAAATAATTATTAATATTGTTGAATATGACATCGCGCCCCTTAAAATTGTAATATATTCGTAATATATATTCTATATATAAGGTTTAAAGGTATATATATTATATATTATTCAAATAATATATTCAAAATATATGTTCTATGTATAAGGTATAAAGATATATAAAAGTTTTAAATAGGTTGATAACGATTAGGTTGAGCTCGAGTACGAGCGCTTCGACGTGGTATCTGTTCAGTCATCTGAGAACGCTCTTCAGTGTTAGTGTGATTAGTGTTGTTGTTATCCTAATGCTCACTAACAGGTGTTGGCAACATATACCAATCAGATTTGCTGTTGTTTTCTGCTGACGTTGATGAACGGTGTTTTATTTGATTTTGATGACGTCTCACGTAACCGTTGGACGTTTTCACACTATATAAACCACAATATAAACCTAAACCTAAGCATCCTAAGTTTTTAATAATGACTGCTTCCACCCACTTCGGACCTCGACCATAATGTTTAATATACACGGTTTCGTTAGGCGAAAATTTAGTTGAACAAGTAACGGGTTTATTGTTGTTTGGTGGTGCTGATAACAGTGTAAGCAAAGTACGTGGCGCACGCCCATGTAACAATTCTGCCGGTGACTTTTCTTCGGCATTAGGAATAGTTCGGTATGTCGCTAGATACTTTACCAAAGCCAATTTAATCGATAACCCATCATCAATATTCTTTTGAACGGATGATTTGAATGTACGTACGAACCTTTCCGCGAGCCCATTTGATGCTGGGTGAAATGGTGCTGTTTTAACATGACTTATGCCATTACGAGCACAGTATTCAGCGAACTGGTCGGAAGTTAGCTGAGGTTCATTGTCACTAACTATAGTTTCAGGTAGTCCTTCTAATGAAAAAACTGCTGACAAAGCTGCTATGGTGTCAATAGTGGTGATAGTTTTAAGCTGTACCACAAATGGAAACTGTGAGAAAGCGTCAACTACTATTAGCCACATAGACTGGAACACTGGGCCAGCAAAATCTATGTGTACTCGTTGCCATGGTCGTTCTGGCTCTGGCCACTCATGGTATTTTTGTTTCGGACTTGCACCCGCAATTTGACAAACACTGCATTGTGAAGCAAGTTTTTCGATGTCGTTGTCAATATTAGGCCACCAGCAGGGTTGCCTAGCGAGTTGCTTCATCTTAACGATGCCCCAATGGCCGTCATGGAGAAGCTTTAAAACTGACTGATGCAAGGATTGAGGTACAATGACTCGAGTAGCATCTGTCTGTAAATAAATCAAATCATCTCGAATGAAAAGAGCATTTTATTTCTCATTAATAATTCCGTTAATTGTGAATCATTGCTTATAGAGGCAATTTGGCGAATTTCAAATCCAAATTTTTCAAAAAGGTCAGTGCCAAATAAATTATGTCCATTACGAATGCATACTACCACTAAAGTTGCTGTTCTCTTTGTTTCACCACACTTTAGTTCTGCACTAAACTCTCCAAGTGTCTTTACTCGGTTCTTGCCGTAATCAAATAATTCTTTTCTACATGGACACAACTTTGGTTTGTTTAATTGTTCATAAGCATCTAGTGTCAACACCGAAACAGTTGCTCCTGAATCCATTTGAAATTTTATTTGAGTATTATCTATTAAAACGTCAATAAAAACTTTCTTATTTTCAAAAAATTAGAGTAGTTTTTTTGAAAAAAAGAGTATCTTATTATAATGTCATGACGACTTAATAATACTTATGTATTAGTATAGTCCTTCGATTAATTTCGACTTTACTCCTATATATATATATATATTTTACTTGTTATTCTATCGTTTTTTTTAATACAAGAAATTCAAAAAATCTGTCATTTTTTTAATAAATAATTATTTTATATTACTTTCTTACTTTGCAATAAATAAGCTTTTATTTCTCAAACATTTTTTACTAAAAACGTTTGTTTAGTATTTAATTTTAAGAATTTGTTTTTTAATTAATTTCTGTAACATATCAACATCTTCTTCCGGCATTTCATCAGATTCGTCGTCTTCACCACTTTCAGTTATTGAGGTATCATCTTCAGTTGTTGTGGTATCATCTTCTGTTGTTGTGGTATCATCTTCAGTTGTTGTGGTATCATCTTCAGTTGTTGTAGGGATTGTTGTGGTATCTGCTGGTGGAACTGAAGAGTTGCCATTTAAACAATCCTGCATGTCTGCAGAAGCTTGACTGCTGTCCTGAACGTAAATACGTTCTGCTTCAGTTTTGCAGCGTTGTTCTGCGTTATCAATAATTACGTATTCCTCACGAAGTTCTATCAAAATATCCGAAGCATCATCTGAAACTTTTAACATGGATTTTGCACTATTAGAAGCCTAATTGAAAAAAAATTAAATGAAATTTTATTAGATTTGGTCTTATCAAAAAAAATTCTACATATAGAATTATTCATATCAACTCCAAGTTTCTCACATGAATCAATATTTGTATTTTAATAGCATTTATCATACTCATGCCATTGTAAGGATATGAAAATTATATACTTACTTTGTTTTTGAAACATTCCAATGATGGAATAGCTGATGATTCATCAGTACAAGTGCTAAACTGATTACAGGTACCATCAACGTCTTCTTGTAATTTATTACGGGCAGGGTCCTTAGCTTCTTCAACATCAACCCTAGCTGCATCTGCATTATCCTCGCATATTCCAAAACTTCTTTCGTACTCTGATGCGATAGCATTCAATTTGGGTAGATAGTAATCAAAACATGCCATAGATCTTTGTGGACTATTTTCTAGTGCACTACGTGAATTGAACATAATATTAAGTAGACTAAGTTCGGAGTTGTGAATGCGATGTATTTTTGCAGTCGCAAAACTTAAGCACAAAACTAAACATATCACTTTTAGAGCGTACATTTTGTGATTTTAAATTCCTTCAAAACTTTTCGAATTATTTTTTTAATTTTCGTTTATTCGTCTGACTTCACTCAGTCGCAAAATAATACTACCTATTAAAGCTTAATTTCTTTAAGTTTTATACGAAATACTCTGAAATGATATTATTTATGATCCCCATAAAAAGCTTATATATTTATTAGGTTGATATGAAATCGTACAATTTGAATATGAATAAGGTAGTTTAAATATATATATATATATTTATATATAGACGTGCCTATCTTTAAGAAATTTTATTGTTCAAAGTGTTTTGTGTTAATAATGATAGCATTAGAAACAATACATTACCTACACAATATTTAATTACTCTTACTAGTTTAACTTTTAAGTACAAGTTTTAATTATAAAATTAAAGAAGTTAATAAAATTCATGAAATTAGTCACATCTTATCATAGTCTCCCTTGCTAAATGCAAAAATAAACACAATGCAATATAATTTTTTTTAAAAAAAAATAAACTCGACTATTATTTTGGGTCTAATAAATCTATTTAAGATTTTAAGTATATAATCTAAAAAAAGATCAATTCTAAAAACTACAGCGGAACTGATAGCATAAATATAAAAAAACTCATAGTTAAATCTTAGAAAATATTGATTTCACTTATTATGTGTTTAACTAATATATATCTAAAGCATTCCCATTTAAATGAATATAGAGGTTTTTCGAACAGTAGTGAATTACAACAACGAAAATTCATTTTATATTATTTTAATTAATTGAATTTGTGCCTGACCATACAGATGTATGCCAAATCGGGTATTGCCAAATACCCATCATGAGTGGTCTTGGAAATAATTCCAATAATACAAGAAATCGAACTAGTGTCCTGCCAAATTTGAAGCTTAGAGTCAGCGCACCTTAATCAACTGACCCAAAGCCGTACTTGACTTCTATGTTCGCACATTTTTCTGAAAAATGTATAAAAAATATTTTTTAAAAAGTATTAAATTGTGTCTTATTTAACCCTTACGTTCTATATTTACCTAGCTACTTATTTGTCAGATTAATGTTCCAAATAGAAAGTACAGTTCCAATGGTAGAAATTCCGATCAAATTGAGAGCTAGTACCCACATTAAATGCATATTTTGGAGACGTTAACATAATTTATTATTGAAAACGGTTGTAGAAATTGAAGCCTTGTGAGGAAAATTGTATCAAGTTGAAGGCTACTACTGCCTACTACTGAAGGCTACTACTGTCAAAAAATAAATAACAAAAGAAAATTAAAAATTTTTTATTTTATATATATTAGGTTTAAAATTCTCAAACATTACTGGTATATCATAATAATTGTAGAATTTTTTTATGATAACATTAATATTTCCTTTGACCAGTAATCTATTTTAAATAGAAAAAAAATAATAGTAATAAAATTTTAAATCTAAGAATTAATTTTAAATTCAGTAAAATTTATGGGCGAACCATATAACTCTTTCAAATATTACCACATATCAATTGTCAGTGGTCTTTGCAAATATATATAGTTACTTTAAATAATATATAATATTGGTATATAATATTTAAAATGCAAGTGCCAGACTATCAAACCCTGTCTTATCTCAAACTGAGGCTTGCATATTAACACACTGAACCAACGACGCACTTAAACTGCAATGTTCAGGTTTAGAGTTTTCCTATTTTACTGTTATTACTTTTTCCTTCTGATTAGAATATTTCAATTAGGAAAACACTACATGGAAACAGTGAATTGTTTTAAAATAAGACATTTAATTAAGGATTATCGATTTGTATAAGTTCTGGAGCTATAGTCGTTGAGGTTGAAATAGAGTAATCCTTATAAATTCTCTCTATAGTTAACTATGTATTCAATATAGTTAACATTAATTTTAATCGTTTTCAATATCTTATTATATTTTATACACACAAAAAAGTACTTAGTTAAAATTGTTTAATCGTTACATACCCTTACGAAATTGAAGTATTAAAAAATTTTGAGGCAGTCCTAAACTTTTGCGCAGCACTGTATATATTAATCATTTGTAATATCTGTAAAATGATTACAACTATGACTACGTGAAATTTGGAAAGCAGCTAATGTACTCCTGTAACAGATAAGATTCTTTATCTAAAGTATAGCCACACATATATTCGTATAAAAAGAGTTTAATAAAATATTAAGATAAGAAGCAGTTAGGACCATCTTACATCAATGATATCAACTCATAATCATATCCTACACTACTTTTTACTTAAAATCAAATTTTAGCTATTAACGCTCAAATTTTGTATGGAACTCCATATTTCTTTAGAAGCTAGAAAACGATCGATCTGAATATATTTTTGCCTACGGGAAAAAGCGAGTATATCAATAAACAAACATATCTTCTCTCATATAAAAATTGTATACCACTATACTATAAAATTTTTCATTACACACTTTAGGGAATTAGCTTAAAAGTTTTCGCATATTCACTTTTAATACGGGAGGTGTTCTATCGAATTGATAGAACTTAGTAGGTAGTTCTCCACTAAATCAGTAATATTCTATGAATAGATCGACATGTGAAAATACGTGATTTTGTATGCATATGTTAAGTATATTTTACACAATCATTTGGGTGTGAAGAAGTTATGACCTATATGGGTGTAACAAATACTTAGAGTATATCATAACCGAAGATATGAACCGTATTGGGATTTTAAAATAGTATTTACAGATATTACGTATATTCCTTTCAACAATGGAAATCACGGCTATTCCTTCTAACATAGATAAAGCTAAAATTCTGAGTACTAAGGCCCTTTAGGTCAACTTTCGCCCCTAATTACTGGAATGAAATTTCCTACACTGCTTGCATTGTATGCTTTACTGTGTCGGCAGACAAACGGACGTTCCATTACGTAATATCCCTAAATGTCACTGTTTTTTTGTGGCTCAACATCATAGATAATGTCAAATCTCCCTCGTTTTGACCTGGCTAAGAACAGCTAATGTTTATTTTGTTTGAAGGATGACGAGACCATCAAATATATGCTTTTGTCGGAACATTTGAAATGGAACTCGGAATACAAAAAACATTCACTGCCTAAATATTGAGTATTGTTTTCAAATCATTGCTAAAACATGATATAAGTAGGTTTAAGTCTCAGACGGTTATTCTCAATACTTTCATATACAGAAAAAAAAATAGAAAATAAAGAAAATATGTAATTTGTATCAACTACTTTTTATCAAATTACACTATAAAAGCGATTGGTACGTAATCTTTTCTAGTCAATTTCAGTGTCAAGTCTTTGACTTTCAATTTCTTAACGAGGAAAGTGTTTCTATATCTTGATAATGCATGGATGCACACGTGCGTAACCGCCATTGCAAAATTTCAAGAATTTTGATAAGAATCACTTTATTATTTACCTGATTTATTTATATCGTTTATATTATATATCAAAGCCGAAAAAATGGGTGAAAGGAAAACGATTTATCAACAAAAAATTGAGTCTTATTTTGAACTAATCAATTATTTGATGGGCTCAGAAAAGCTGGAGAATCGTCGGATCAAATATATTGTATTGAAGTGAGACTTTATTAGAGAATAAAAATGAATCATTAAAATAAGACATGATATACTCGATTATTTGAATGGCTTTTTGACTCGCTCTTATATGATTATAGAATACTGTATAAATAATTATCATTAAAATTAAATGTAAATTTTTTTATAATTTATTTTGTGAATTATTAAATAATTTATGACTTCAATTAGTCATAAGTTAAGAGGAAATATTTTTGTTACTTCTTACTCGCACCATAGTTTATTTTAAATTTAAAATTAAACCATCTACCAAAATAAAAATAATAAATTAATTTAGTTTGTAAACAATTTCCGTTCTTTATCATTTGTAAAGAATTTTAAAAATTTTCAATGCTTTGCAAGTGAACTGCGAAGTATTACTTCCGTTGATAATAAAAAACCGGCGGAAACGCAACCAATAAATTATCTGGGGTAATTTTTTAGAAGAACAAATCAAATATATATTGAATAATTCGTAATTTTTTTTTTTGTCAAGCACTTAATATATGACTTAATCTATTGTATTTAATGCACGTACTTTTAATTTTTTTTTAATTAATTTAATGATAATTTATTTTCTAGTTTTTATATAAGAAAAATATTATCTTATGTCATGAGGAGATTAGGCTGGCAGGTGTTTGGTGTGAATATGAATTGTATAAACAAATATGGAGCAGGATTAGATACAGAGCTAAAGAACTATGTTTAGAATTATAAGTAATAAGATTTAATGTTTATTTTAAAATTATTTTATATTTAATAACAATTAAAAATAAAAAATTCTTTACGAATAAAACAGTGTTGTAAAAAATAATATGCAAAGATCTAGCTGGAAAAAATCTGTCTACTCTTAAACATTGTCATCTACATATATGTTAATTTAATAGCATTAACATAATATCTTAACAGTAACCTCAAATGAGAACAACAAGAGATAACGTCATAATGTAACGTTAAAAGGTAACGACATAATGTGACGTCAAAACGCTGGTTTCCCATCAATTTAGATAATGGATATGTCTTATGCTTTAATAAAAAATAATTAATAATATTTTATATATGAATATTACTAGAATACTGTCCATTAATTATAAGATTTTTAAATCTGTTAACAATAGATAACATGAGAAAAATTGGAAATATTATTATAATAGCCATATTGCAATCAAGTTTAAATTAAAGAGGAGTTTATACTGCGTTAGATGGGTTAATGAATCTTTTAACTTATCTTTGACCTTCAAAGTTCGTATTGTAAAAAATTCTTTCAAGTACAAAAACAACTGCATGAACTACGACAACCAGAGACTAGTTTAGAGATATATTCTATATTTAGCGTTCTCAAATAAATTCCTAACTTCAAGTAATTAGAATATCGAGATTCTCACTGGGTTTATGATAGAGAACCGCAGAAATCGGAATCATAACATATCAGAGGTCCAGTTTTTGATGTTTCATAATAAGGCATAGTAATATAGAAAGTATATGACTGAATTGCCTTTATGTTTCTTCTTTACGAGTTTCACTTATTACTGTTGATCAAGCTGTATAAATCATCATTGGTAAATTGGTAAATTGGAAAATTGGTAGGAATGTTTGGAAATGTCGATGGTAGACTTTAACATCTTCTATGCATCTGAATGATTTGATATTTAAAAAGTAGTGTAGTGTATAATTCCAAAGTAACCACGAGTTTTGAGCAACAGAAATTTGTAGTGAGAGTATTTATTAGCAATTACCATAGGAGATAATTTAGGTCCTTCAATAAAATACGGTTAAGATTTTATGATATTTCAGAAGAAATCATTTTTTAATTACAACATGTTCAGAATTAGTACGGACTTTAACAGTCATCAATTTCGATAAAGTTTTATTTTAAATTAAATACGGTAACCTACGAAATAGGGTTCGTCTGGAGCTTAGAACCCTTGTGTTTATTTTATATTCATTTTCTCATGAAATAAAGAATCGAAACTTCCCTAAAGACATCAATAAATAATAAAAATTTACTTGAAACAGTTTTGTGATAAAGACCATTTCTCTGAACAAATATATAAACGTTTATAGAATTTTAGTGAATTCTGTTGAAAAGCTTCTTCGTACAAGAGTAATTAGCAATAAAATTGAATGCCTTTATTGGGGCCCATAAAATACTATAAGAGTATAAGACTTAACCGTTTCATATAAAAACAAAAAAATTTTGCAGAAATATTTAGAAACAGTTGAAGCTTTTAACGAGTACAACAATTTTTAAAATTATTTTAGTAAAAGTTATTTAAGAATTAAAACTAAAAGAATAAAAATGTTTTCTTTAACGAAAATAAGTTTTCTCATACTTTGTTTGGGTCTCGCAAATGTTAATGTATCAGCTAAAGTGAATCTTTTTGCTGAGCAGAATTTAATGGAAATAATGATGCAGTCTCGTTCTTATTTGGAAAGAAGTCCTGAAACAACAACAAAATGTTTCCAATACTATATTCCAGCATTGCAAGAAGTAAATGAACAATATGAAGCCAGTTTTAGATTATGTGAATCAACTGCAGAAACTGAGAAAGCGGACCTGGAAGATTCAGTGACAGGCAAGCGAGAAGAAATAAAGTCATCCACAGATGAATCTTGTGCCGAATTTAATGATTGTGAAGTCATTGCTGACGCAATTGGATATTTTGAATGTTACCAAAATAAGGTAAGCTTAAGTTTAAAAGTGAATTCGTAAATAAATTTAACAAAACATTTGAATTCCTTTTAGGCTACCCAAGGATCTAAGGATATGAACTCTATATCAAGAAATGTCGCTACTGCTGTTAATGACTTGAAAGAACAAACTCGCTTAATCGATAATCGAAAAGATCGATGCACATATGAATCAGAACGTGTGTATACTGACAATTACGATCGCACTTCTGCTGAACTTCAAAGTTGTTTGGATGGAAAAACCGAAGTACCAACTCCAACTGAACCACCAACTGAACCACCAACTGAACCACCAACCGAACCACCAACTGAACCACCAACTGAACCACCAACCGAACCACCAACTGAACCACCAACTGAACCACCAACTGAACCACCAACTGAACCACCAACCGAACCACCAACCGAACCACCAACCGAACCACCAACTGAACCACCAACTGAGCCCCCAACTGAACCACCAACTGAACCACCAACCGAGCCACCAACTGAACCACCAACCGAACCACCAACTGAACCACCAACCGAACCACCAACTGAACCACCAACCGAGCCACCAACTGAACCACCAACTGAGCCCCCAACTGAACCACCAACCGAACCACCAACCGAACCACCAACCGAACCACCAACTGAACCACCAACCGAGCCACCAACTGAACCACCAACTGATACTTTAAATGGAGTTAATAATTTTAAACATTTTAATAGATTTAATAGAAGACAAATGAACAGAAAGCATCAACAAATATATATGTAAAATATATGTACACTATAAAATATTATTATTATTATTATAGAAACCATGAATATATATTATTATAGAAACCATAAAACCATATACCAAACCGAATATTATTTAATTAAAATAAAAATAATTGTAAAAAAATTTTTTTGAAGTAATTACTCATAATGTCTTCAGATTTAAATCATATATAATATATAAATAATATATAATGTATAAATAATATATTAATATTCCAAATTTCAATTAAATTTCTTATATTGAAGTTATTAAAAATGCAACGTTGAAAGTCTAAGTAGGTTAATGACCAAGGGTGGGTCAGATAAATTTCCGGTTAGTCATGGGTATAAAAAATTTAATTGGACTATTAAGATATACATATGTCTATGCATATATAATACAAACATATATATATAATTTGTGTTCATAAAATTAAAATTATCAACTGCACATATTTTTTTTTCAAGTTACAAATCGTTGTAATGAATTTCTGAGATTAGATTTAGATTTCTTTGTTATTATTTGAGCCGCTATCTGAGTATCTGTAACTCGTGCACGCGTAGATTCAAGTTCTTTTTGCTTATAAGAATCTCGTTCAATACTCCCAGACGAAGAACATGCGGACATTTGATGATTAAAGCATAAGAATCCAGAAGTTTTTACTAAATTCTTTTGCTAATAAGTATCTGATTGGGAATTTTATTTTTTGTTTGGCAGGTGTTAACCATATACATCTCGACGTATATATATATTTCCTTGTATTATGGTAAGTTTTAGTTAAGTCTTATCAATTGCGATAATAGTTAGCTATAATTAAGTTCATAATTATTTTGTTTATCAGGTGATTACAAGTATTTAAAGCAATTTACGTAAAATATTAGCTTCGACTGTTGCATACCTTTCATTCTTTCTCGTCATTGCAGTTACCAGTATTAAAAATAATTTAGATATTTATCAATTAGCAATTCATTAGATATTATTTATTTTAAAATAAAATATTTTAATCATGATTCAGTATAAAGACAAAACTTTTAATGAAAATTGATATTTAATTCTTTAAAGTCAACAGTTTACGTTTTCTGATATCAGAGACCTTATGCTTTTTATAGAAATTTTTTATTATTAAAGATTAAAAAATAGTTAAAAAACTAAATTATTGCGTGACAGAAAAAATTATGTATTCAAACTTTTTTATTTAATACAATTGTATTTTAAATTAAATTTATCGGTTTATAGAAATAAAAAATATAAGAACAGAGTTTTAGTAACCGAAGTACAAAGAAATTTAAGCATAGGTCCGTAGCATATTGGGCTTTCTCACGAAATGCTCGATCCACTACACTTTTATTTCCCATTCATTTATGCCGAGGTGCATAATTCATGAATGGGCATATGTTTCTTTTCTGTGGGCTCTCCATTGATAACTAATAGGTACACAAAATAATTTTCTAGCTCCTAAAAATTTTCAACAATTACTTTTGATTATTAAAGCAGACAATTTAATATTTCTAGTGCAAAATTTTATATATACGAACATTACTTAAGACTATGGCGTCCATATTTTACGATACGCATGGATTTTATTATCGACTACCTTAAGAAAGATCAGACCATCAAAAGCCATCACTACATGGCCCAACAGGTACGTTAAAAGCAGGAATCACCAAATAGCGGCCCCATGTAAAGAAGAACAGACTGCGCCGTGTCACAAGTTGTTAACTACCATTGCAAAATTGCAAGAATTACATTTCGAATTGCTTCCACGCCCACCATATTCACTAGATTTGGCCCATAACCATCTCTTTGCAGATGGTTGCTTCTGGGAAGAGGTCATCACCGAACGTAGATAAAGTTTAAGGCCAAAGCTGAAGCAATTTACAGGAGAGATCATTTATTTAAGGAAAGAGACTACATCTATGAATGTAGTCGAATTTTTCCAAAAAGTTGTTGTTTTATTTGTTATTTTAAATAACATGCTGAAAATAATGTCTAAAATTTACAGATTTTTTTTTTAATATAATTTTAGATAATTGCTCTTCTGCGGTATTTAGTAAGCGTTAAAAGCCACAATGTGGGATTATAACAATCGATATCTTAGGAACGAAAGAAAAGATTCCAGCCTAGCTCCATGAAGAGTGTTAAAAACGTCGTTATACTAATCAACATAGTATTTAGCTTAGCATTAAGATAAAAATTATAGAAAATAACTTGAGTTAGAAGGTCGATAAATACTAAAGCGTGCTAAATTTCTTATAGATTCTATAACCGAAATTTTGAAAACCATGAATGCAGAAATAAACTGTTTATAGTAGAAAAACTTTACTTTGCAGTTAATGAACTTAATATATATAGCAAACAATTGAGCTCTTGTAAGTGAAAAGGCTTAATTAATATTCATTTATAAGTAGTATATATTATAAAATCAAAGTTCTTAAGCTATCATTTTTTATAATTATCACGTTAATTGTTTTGAAGTCAAAAACAAATTATGGCTGATTATTGACTTAAGTATAAAATCTCAGTTAAATTAAAAAAAAATCAGTTAATAATTTTAAACGATTATTGCCTTCAAATGCAATACTTTAGATAATCAATAAAAATGTTGGTCAGAAATGACCTTTATCAGTAATTCAATTAATCAACAATTATCAACAATTCCCAATAACAACACCCAATAACCTACTTTGTTCTTTTGTCTTTAATAAACAATTCTCTATAATTCTTGAAAAGCATGTATTGTAGTATTACGCGTTGCACTTAAAATAAAATGATTAATACAATTTTTATATATTTTTTTGTTTTGATTTGATATATATCATTGTTCAAATAATTTTTAATTCATAGAAATACATCTTCATTATGTCATTTAATAATATATTCACAAATAACTAATTAGTATTGATTACTAATCTGATACTTACAGTTTCAAAACAAAAATATTTACGACTATATAATATAAGAAATAATTCTAAAATCACGGGTTTGTGATGGGTCCTTGGCAAAACTCGAAGCAGCTGTGTGGTCAGCCAAAAATTTAATTACTGAATAAATAATAAAAGTTTATTATAATGATTTGCTACTGTTTAAAATACCTCTGTATTGAAAACAATAGTTTATATTAATAATTTAGTTTCTTTCTTCAAAACGGACGTTAAACATCAGTTATACCTGATTAGTGAATATGGGTTTTGTTTATATGGATTTTATACAGATTTTCTATGGATTTTGTATAGATTTAGTATAGATTTTGTATAGATTTTGTATGGATTTTGTATGGATATTGCATGAAATAGACATTTTTACTGTATATTTGACGATATAATTGGGATAGTATAAACCTACTGTAGCATATTTACAATTATTACTGTCAATAATAGCTTAATATGTGAAATCATATTAAGAAATAAACTTATAGGATCACTTATAACATAAAGATATATATTATCACAAGTGAAATTGATGATTTTAGAGTTTAAAAAATAATAACATTGGAGTCCAATAATTAAATTTTTAATAAAGTGAATTAAAAGATTGTCCATGCAGCTATATGAATATAGACAATCACGCTAAACACCAATGATAACGAATATTTAATAATATCTGAAACAGCTTTATATTCAATCTAAGAACTACATTTAAAAATAACAATTAAAGATTTCTTCATTTTTACCCCCTTTCATTTTAAAATATAAATATATTATTTTAAAAATTTTAATATAAATGTATTTCTATTTTTTTTTATTTGAAAATAAATATGTAATTACTATATAACCACAATAACAAATTTTATTATAAATACTGTTAAGTGGTAATTACAATTTTATGGCTTTCTCACTATTGTAGAGATACTTCCTAGTATATGTACAATGGTATTCGGGGATTTTAGGTTAGGTTAATGCTCCTATGTACTGCGACCAGTGTGATCTATTGTGCACCCATTTGTATTTAAATACTTAGTATCTCAAGGAATCGAACCTGCCCCTTCGGTGAAAGTTTTCGAAGGTCTTCATCCTTTATTTGGTATGCACCTTATAATTTGTTTCTTCTGTAGCCTAGTGCATCACAGTTGGTAATCAGATGTTTCATAGACTCTTCCTCATCACGACAGAATCTACAAATATTAATGTCCGATATACCTATTTTGTGTAGGTGTTTTCTTAGTATAAGGTTATTATGCTTAAAAAAGTAGCTTAGAGTCTTTTTTTCTTTTCCATATCTTCAAGTGTAAGCATATTTCATTATTTTTTATTTATTTCTATTTGAGCCAGTGCACTTGAGCACTTTTACTTTCTCTTAACTTGAGGTATTTTTAAAACCACTCTTTACGCCTTAACTGGATTATTGTTTATCACTTCATCAGACTAAGCAATAATTGATCACAGATCTGCTTACCTCCTCGAGGAGCCTGTAACCATTCTGAGATTTGATAACGCGGTGTTGGTAAGTCTGTCAGTTTTCGCAAATAATTTCAGGGCTCTATTCTTTATGTATTTTTTGATAGGATCAATCTTGAGGTCCCTGAGGATGTCATTCGTCCTAATGTACCATGGTACTTTGAAAAGTCTTCTCAGAGCCTGACTTTGTGCAATTTCTAGCTGGTGAATAGTAGTGTTTTGCTAAGCGCTACACACCCATATAGAAGTGACGGACGAATTTTTTGGTTATATATCAGTTTACTGTTCTTATCATTGAGATTTTCATTTCTGAATAGCGGTTGGAGGTGATGAAGAATTTTGGCACACGTATATTTTTTTATTTAGTATAAAGTATTTATTTTTTAAGAAGGTTATGAACAACTATTTTTAAGTGATCCGTAATATTCGAAGATTTAAATAAATGCCGAAAAATATATTTAATATGTGTTGATCAGTAGCAAAACGTGGACAGTATTTTTGTATTTCCCCCAAGCTACACAACTTATAAATTTAATATAATCTATT